CGCATCTGAGCCGCTAATCCACTCCCCCAGCATTTTGAATTCATCCACCTCAGGTTGTTTTTGTTTACTCGCTCATCGCGGATTGGTGTATCTAGCCTTCGTTGCACCCATCCATCCCGCGTCCGACCTTCCAACAGCAAAATTTTGCGTTTTTACTATTCGCACCAACAGCAATTTAGGCGTATTTCGAAATCCAGATCAACAACGTTTGACTGGAGTGGTTTGAGTGCTTAGTCTTGTTCCTGAAAATGATCTAATTACGCATCGTGTAGGAGGCTTGAGTTGGGGTCAGGCAAGTGGATGAGGTAACAGATCCGATGATTCAGTATACCCCCTTTGAATTCCATCATAGGTAAGCTTGTCTTCCAATATTGAATGCTTAAATAGAAGTTTCTCCACTGGGGATTATGAATTTAGTAAACACAGCCATCTCTTCACTCAAAAGCGGTCACATTTCACCCGGCTACTCTGTCCCATCCGAGTTTGCACCTCAAGTCGCTTAAGGATTCTAATTACCAAAGGTTCAGGGAGATTTCCGTCTCCTGTCCCGTAGTCTCATCCACTTTCGTTATTTAATCGCCGAACAGCCGCATCTCTCATCAACGTTGTTTTCGGGCTGAAAGCCGTCAATTATGCAATCTCCTAATGTCTCCAACGCTTACACAGGCCGTTTGGTATGATTCGTTTTGAAAACATCCACCTGCACACACGAAATGCCGCCGCCTAGCGCGACTCAAAGTTGACTTTGAGGTTTTGCCTCCCTCCCTCCTCTCTCCAACCGCTGCTATGGCGATTAAGCATTCCTTCTCATGCGTCTTCTCTGTTGTACAGCCGGTGTATTTCTACCCCAGCTTGGCAGACAAAGTAGAGGCGTAGGGGGATTACCCACTTTTTGTGGTGGAGCACATGGATTCAGTGGAAATGCAGTTATGTTGTTGTGATTGCTTGGTCAGCGGAAGAATAGTCCCCAAGTGAAGCACCAGATGATAATTGAATATCCGGCTGGTGATTATTCAGGTTTGGAAAGGAGGTGTAACGACCTTCTGCTCGACATCGACTTCATTTCTTTTATAGCTCGACACATAATGGATATTTCGGACAGGTCGGAACTTAAGGTTTATCGAAAAAGAGCACGTATTTGACGGTTTGTAAACTGCTTTTCTTTTCAACATAGAATGAATCGATCGTATAGAACTGGAAGCTGCAATACATTAAAAACTCGGTTTTCACGTACTTCCTTCAACTTGCGGCAGACGTTGTGTTGGACTTTTGCAAGTCTCCAAGCGAATCCATCTTCAGCTTCAATGCGACTTTGAATCGTTCAGTCTTGTGAGGAAGTTAAGCCCGTCCCGTTGCCTATTCGCCTAGAATGGTGGTCACATCAAACATTGCTATAAAGAGCTAAGTGGTCGGTTGTCCTCGTTCCTTTTTGCCAAACCTGCTTTCACTCTCCACTTCTACCTCGGGTCCAGCTTAGGCCTTCACGTGGCGTCGGACTCATTTACGACACCAAGGTAGCTAGAACTGTCACACTCTTGTTAAGTTAAAAAACCGTTTTTTGATGTCGCTAACTGTCGCCTATGCTAGATCACATAGTTTTATTTACATGGATGGCAAGACCATGACACGAAGGTTTCATCGGCGATGATCATCACAAATTGAAGGCGGATCTTAGCATAATCCGTCTTTTACAATAAAGTGGAAGACAGTCGAGTAAGCGTTCATTCCACAATTGACGAGCGGCACGGGCGCTAGCTGGTAAGACGAATTGCCGATGCAAATTTCAAAGCCGTCGATTTTTCTTGTCGAGTTGAAATAGCCGCCTCTGTTGAACCTTGCTTCAACCGCCTCTAATTCAGGTATAGTTGGTTTCGGATGAAGAGACTTATGCTGCTTCTTTACTGAACACCTGCTCCTAGCCCACCACTTTCTCCCTCTTCTTCTTGGTCCCAACTCGGGCCATTTCCAGGGTTGAAGTCACCTACCAGAATTGGGTTTCTCTCTCAAACTGTCAGCCAGCATACCCTTTGTATTGTCCACAAGCTCGTTAGCTCAATGACTTCTTCGATGGTAGTTCCACTCATCTGGCTCCACAAGGTGACAAGTTTTCTCACAGTCCGAGTATTGATAATCTAGTTGTCATTGAGCCAGTATCAAGAGTAGAATCAAAATGAAATCCAAGATTGCTAGTAGTCTTCCCTCTTGAACTCACGGGCAACTAGGGTCTGGCCGCAGCGTCTCTCAGCTCGTCATTCTCTGCCACCTTGGTCATCTCAGGCCTCCCAAGTGGGTGGTTCATGTTTAGGAGTGAAAATTTTGCCTACCAAAACGAAACCTCGACCAATGGCCGCGGATTTGCATTTTTACCAGCGAATCACAGTCTTGTCGATTCTGGCTGATGGAGTAACAGTATTTGTTCGATTTATCCAGGGTCTTAAATGTATCATCCTAAGAAATGGGCGACCATATGACTTGCTACAAGAAAAGTTTCAAATGCGTCCAGGTGGAAACAGACAATTGGAATCAGATTTTTTACCTTTAATGACTTGGAAACTAACCGCTTTGACAGGAGACCCCTTTCCAATGCGCTCATTTCACCTTTCAATTGCACCTGAGTAGTGACAAGGTCTAGGTGCTTGTTCACTGTTACCACTTTCCATTTGGCTCAGGACAGGCATCTGCGAACTTTCGTATATGCACATGTAATCCCTCACTGCTTTAAAGAGGTCATGGACCTAGGTCAGTGAGGCTGACATTCTCGTTGCCTCCTGAGTGTGGCTTCATTCTCGCCAGCCGTGTGTAAGGCCTCTGCTGTGGTCACTAGTTATCCGAAATGCTCGGTTTAATGTCGGAACCAGGCTATTCTCTTTTGCTTCTCTACTTCATTTAGATGTGTGGAATTGGTCAATAAGTCGCATGAGTGATACTAATTTCGTTGGACCCATAGCATAATTTTTCTTTTAATTTCAATGTACATCTATCGTCAGTCTTCCTTCTATCACCACGATAGGTTTCTTTGAACTGGTCAACAACGACAGCGTCACTGCCTTGTGGAATGGTGACATCAACAGGGATAGTGAAGTGGACGGAGGTGGGGATGGAGAGTGCTTCATAGCTCCACCCGCTTGGTATCACCACTCCTGCGACCATCTCACTTCCGAGAATTATGAATCACTCGCTCTCTTCTGCCTCGAAATGGGCCTGTGAGTTTCTTATGACCTGGCCTTTATTTGCGTGAGCGCACAGACACACCATCGAGGTTCCAACCAAGGTAGTCCGGGAAAGTGGGGTCTGTAATGCTGACAACGGTGTGGACATCCTCTGGCCGGAGTGCTGGTAATGTGCTGGCAGTTTGATTGGCTATGGCCTTAACGTCAATGATGTGTCCCATGGGTTTCGATGGATCTGGGGCTAACGTCTTCAATTGCTTTGTGCTTCTCGAGGCTGGTAGATGCTCTCCATTGAGTGCCTTTCATATGTCACGAAACACTACCTGTCTAGTGGCCATTCCAGATTTTGGAAGTCTGCTAATTCTTTCGTCCTCCTCTCACAAAAGACTTTGACCTCTTTTACCTCCTCGTTCAGCCGTGAACTCGGCGTAGCCTTTGCAGTACGGGCCCATCAGGAGTCGAAGCGTCGCGAATCACCCGATCTCTGCGTCAACGATGGTGATGCCAACGGCGCCACCACCACCTCTCCCTCCTCTCTTCTCCGAATCCCCAGTCTCAGCCTCCCTCTTCTGCGCCATCTTGATCTCCCGCTCCCTCTACGACCAGACGAAGAAGGTTGGTCGGGGTGGCCTTTGATAGCTGATAGAAAACCCCTGCTTTCTGCTCTTTCCTTTCATTGAAGAGTGGGAACTTGTTCAGAGAGCAATTGCGTTGTACCTAATATGGTGGCTGGAGTAGTGTCACTTCAAGAGAGACTAAATCTTGTTCTGTTCATGCGTTCCCAAATTTTAGTGAACGAGTTATTCTCTGAAGGTCTTGTAAAGCACAAGAATCTAGAGGGGGCCTGGAGGGCTAGTGGAATAGAGGTGGTGAGCAGCTCTTTCGTTAGAGGGTTTCAATTGTATTAAATACTAGCTATTTTGAGGGCTTTGAGATCGGGATGGCTGCTAGAAGTCGGTGGTGCCATTTCAGTAGCTTCCACAGATCTATTCACCCGGTTGCCTTCATTCTAGGCCATTCAAATGATGTATTCATCTTGCGAGATGTGAGATTATCTTCTTTACCGTACGCTCCTCCCAATGCCGTAGTAGAGCCTACAAATCTGTAAGCAGGGACCGAAGAAGTCCTTGTTGTCAAGCCTACACTGAAGTGAGAATCATCCTCCTGTTCCTCCATCCCGCAGGCTTATTCATGGACGATTTGGACGTTGTCTTTCCCGCAGACGCAGTGAACGAACCGCTTCTGAAGCATCAGACTGAAGAGGGCGTGGTGCGAAGGCGGGCGCGTGGATCTATTCTCAAGAGTTCCTCCTGCTGCAACGATTGTGATAGACTCGTCTACTCGGACGCTACCGGTTATGATGGTGGTGGTAATTCTTGTCCCTCCCTTTTCCTCTTTACGAATTTGCATTTGATTTAACTTCCAATGACCTTGCGGTGTCCGTCTCCCATCCTTCCCACATTGGTACTCGTATTTCCGCCTCAAAATCAAGTTTGTCCTCATTAGTCGCTTTCCAGCACCACTGTTTGTTTCTTGGATCCGGTATTTGGGTCGTGGAACTATCCACCAAAGCCTAATTTGATTATTGAAGTCACCGCATTTTGACTTCAAAGCGGAGGGCCATCTTGTTAATGTCTTTATTGTACGGCCCTTCAGCTTCATCTTAATGCTAGCCTTGTTGATTCGAATGCAAAGGCCACCCATCACACGCTAGCGACATCCATGAAAGCCGTTGGTTCCGGCTCTTCACCATTCCTTTATTCCGATGGGCTGTGAACACTTCTGCCTTCAGTTTGCCACGACAGTCCGCGGGTGGAGAAGCACGTTCGTTTCTCCCTCTCTGCTTCCCACCCCCCTCCCGACATTGAGGCCGAGTTCGGCGGGCGCAGCAACAGTCAGCGCCTGCAGGACATGGCGCGCCGTCGCGGCTACCTCTATCCTGCTGATGGCGTAATCGGCGCCGGCAATGCCGACGACGACAGTGACGACTCCGGTGGTGGAGCCTTTGACCGTCTAGTGGGAGTCTTCTGGCCTGATGGAGGTGAAAATCGCAGTCAGGGTCGACTGAGGTGGCGGGGACGGCGACGCTATTATCACCATCATATCGGCAGGTGCCTACTGGATGTCATCGCTTTCCTCACCTGCCTCTTCGCCCTCCTCATCTTCTCCCTCCTCTTCCTCTCTCTCGTGGTGTGCATCCCATTGGCCTGGTTCACCACCTCTACCGGTGATGGCAGTGCACTGGCCGGGACCTGCGTCCGCCTACTGAACGCATTTGGCCTGCATGCACTCCTGGCAAGATGATAGTATTCTCATCCTTCTAATTCCCTGTGGTTAAACTTTATACTCCTGTTGCCTGTAGAAAGAGAAAGAAGATAAAAAAAACCCTTTTTTTGTGTCGTCTGTTTCATTTGGTTCCGCAGTGCTTCATGGAAGTTTGACAGTCAGTTGATTTTTGAGGTCGCATTCATTCACCCAACTTCGTCTAGGAATTTTACAATGCCTGTTTATCCACCTGTCCCTCCGGCAATCCGCGATCAATCTATTTAACTGCCAGTTCGTCGTTCGTTCACTCCGTTTAATTCGTTTGTGGCAGAACCCTCCAGATGTTTGCGTGGAATCCATCCGCTCAGGAGTCACATATTCCAGTTTATTTTGAAACCTAGTTTAGCGTTGGAGTAGGTTTGAGCCCCGAGGAAACGGAAGATTAGCTAATCCAGCGATGGTGGCCAGTCAGCGGTCTCATACGCTGGAGAGGCCCTTTCCTTCTAGGGCATTGACCTTTCGATGACTGCTGTGAATTGTCAACGGAACCGCCTGGGACGGGCTCTTCACTGATAGACGTGCAGCCTGCATGGTTCCACCATCGCCCCCTTGCATTGTGGTTGAAGTCTTCTACGCGGCAGGAAATTCGTGGGTTCATTTACACGAAACTTCGTTTATCATCAACACGTTGTTCAAAAGGCCCTTGCCCTACCGCTGTCGCCTGGATTCACGATGTCCGGGGTGGATTGTGCCGTCTGTTAGTGTTTTTTAACGGGACGCATCAGTTACTGCGCGTATTATGGACGCGACATCCAATTTATGACCTCTGGTTGTTGTGACCCTGTGTTTATGACCGTGAGCTTGGATTGTATCGAGTTCCCAACCCGACATCGAGACGGACATCCTTACCTGCCGATGTGTGTGAATAAGCTGCGGTTACGGTGTGTGTTTACGTAATCGTTGCGAGAGTCCGCATCTGATTGACCTCGACCCTTCCTCGATTACCGGGTTATTTGTAGTCTACTTGCATGCGATATTGGGCAATTAAAAGGGACTGGACAAGAAGACTCGGGAATTACCTACGGAAAAGGGAATGTCTAGAGGATCGGAATGCGAAAGTCTTCTGTGATTGCAGCCACGCCTAGCACCGGTCCAACAAGTTGTTTCCAAATGGAGATGAACATACGATTGTTAATTTTGTACGCAAATCACAGTATGTGTGAGTGCGCCAGGAATCGAAAATAGTCTCTTCAACGAGGTGACAATGGGTGAATTAGGGAAAGTGGTCCTTCGGGTGTGATGGTCACTGAACACTTCTACGCCTCGCCAACGCTGATTAACCGTATCGCAAAGGAATGCGACAGTCTAGGAATAAGAAGTTAGAACGATAAGGCGAGGGCCTGGATCCTACCCCCTTCGTGTGATATTTTTCACTCAAACTGTTTATCATCAAATGGCGTGTTCGCTTCATTTGCTCTTATTACTTCTTGGGTGGACTACGTCATTTGTGGCAGTTGGCACGGCTAATGGAGTGCACTCGCACCTCTCGCCACATTATAGGCACCATGACTATTTCCACCCCTCCACCTCCCCTCACTTTAATTTCTCTCTGTTGTCAACACAACAACTAGCGTGACGGTAATTTGTTGCAGGCAACCTTCAACTCCGCCTAGCATTCAACCTTGAACTGCGATTGGTGCGTACTGGGTGGCTTGATTGCTCATCGTCAGCCGATTGGGCTATCGATTTCCAATAAGCGCTCGCGCTTTCAAACCAGGCCACACGACCCGCAATCGTTGTGTCGCATTCAATGGTGGAGACGCGTTTATTTCATACCTTTTAAATTAGGAGTTAAGCATACAATGGCACATCGAGGTGAGGTGAGACGAGACCTTGAAGAGGTGTAAATACGCGCTTGTGTTCGGCTGCATTCCAGGTCATTATTTCGCTCTCACGTTCATTGCTTCGGGACTTACACCCGAGCCGACTAGTAACACTAATGGTAAGTATTAATTTTGGCTTTGGAATGCCCAGTTTTGGTAAATTGTGGTCCTGATAAGACTGCTGAAGCATACATTTTTAAAACGCATCAAAGTTTAGTGGGAAGATGGTTTCACTTCTTCGCGATCCCACATATTTTAAGATCTGTTGGAATTCTGTCTACTTGTATTTAATAAGTAAAACTGCTGATTAGCAAAGTAGTGGCATTGCTTTGGACGACTCGAATTGTCACCGTTTTCAACATCCCCAATCTCTTGATTGGCCTAATTTCATCTATAAAACAGCGATGGGGAAGCCTTATGCCCTTAAACCAAATCCGATTGATAAGGTTAGCTATCCTTTTTGTTTCATAAAGTGTCTCTAACACTTAACTACTCTTCCAGGCGATCCTTTTGCCATCTAAAAGGTGACGATTTACGGAGATGGTGCCAAAGTTCAAAGAGTAAAACAATTAATAGGGCTTAACCCAGCCCTCCTCCCCCAAAGAAAACGTTTGTACGGCCAATGAGTATCGATTTCGTTTCCGCTGCCCACCTCCCCTTCCCTCCCCCCGGCAGACGTAACGATTTTATGTTAATTAAGGCGTCGCATGACTCATCGCCGGTGAGTGAATGAGAGAATGACAAGATGCAGATATTTAATGCACCGCGACATAAAAATCACTTAGGCGTATACGAAGTGAGCGATTGCTGATGCCATCATGGTGCAGACTAGCAAAAGGATGCCAACGCTTACTCTCAGCCAGTTCCCCCTCGCCAAAAAAATTTGTGCGGAGCACATGCTACTTAAATAGAATTGATGCTATACAACAAGTGAAATGCACTCCAATCCAATTTAATGCTATCGTGACTGCGCCTGCTGCCTCTTTTTCTTTGTTAGCCCATTACACCAGCCTTTAATTTTACTTCGAAGTCTCGGTTGGATGCATTTAGCATACTTCTGAAGGCTTAAATCATTTCCTTCACTGGGCTGGAAAAACATGCGACACATCTCCAACGGAAGTGAGGTAAGTCTCAGTAGCAAACCTCAGCCCTCTTCCAGCTACCAACACTTTCTGGACGAGTTAAAGCACTTTCTCTCTCTATCAAGAGTCATGTGTTCTTATTGGGCAAACTCTGTTTAAAAGCATTTGGGCATGTCAGAAGCAATGCCAGCGACACGTCGTATGAGTTTATGCGCACTTTGCAAAGTCAACTTTGAGGTCTGCACGTTGGCAGCATGCGTCATTTCAGGGTCGGTTGGTTTTTCTCAATTCTTAACCGCTCTCTTAGGGGAAGTAGTCCATTAGGACTAGTTACGTTTTCCGCAACTCCTATTCACAGATTTTGGTAAAGCTACTCATTTCTAAGAGTCAATCTTCCCCACCTCTTTCGAACATTGGGATATGCCTTCCCTGGTTGATTATTCTTCCTGTTTCCTCGGAAGGTTGAACCCTAGCCAATGCAAGGTTTATGAACGGAAAGGAGAGGAGGCTACACATTCCATCGTCTCACCTTATCAGCAATGAGAACTAACGCTTACTCATCATTACCATCTCACCATCAACTAAAACTGCTGCGCAGAATGAGGTGCTCGACTTTTTCACATTGTCTGTATCCTCTTGTCTGTCGTATTTGGATGCTAGACACTTGAATTGATGTGTAGTCGCCGAAAGGTGAATAAATGTCGGCTCGAAAAGAGGTACGTTCCCTATTTTCGCATCACTAGCAGCGCTAGCAATGCGTGGATACTCTTCACCGTCGACTCAGATGTCTCTCCTCCTCCTCCTCCTCCAACATCTAACGACACGTGATCTTACATTCCTGTGAAAATCTTCATTTTGGCGAAGGCATACTAGGGCGTCAATGGAGAATGTTAACCTACTGGGAGGCGATCTTGCTTACTTTATTCAGGTAATGCTTATAGTTTATGATTTCTGGTATATGAAATCGTTTTTCTCTTCCTTTGAAATATTGAAGATTTAATAGTTTGCAGAGTGAAGAATAATAGAACATTCTTACCTAAAATTGTTGGTTTTTTTAAAAAAAGAACACCCATTACTGGCTCCAAAGATCATCCTGTTTTGTAATATCCTTAATACCAACCCCACCTTTGATAACCAAAGTCAATTTAAGAATCTAGAAGGAGTTAGCGTTGGGTGGGAGGTTATCATCTTTTTGGCTAATTGAAATGACCTTTAACATTGGATACTCACTTTCGCACTCCCACAAGGTGACGGTGTTTAATTTGCACAATTATATTTAAATATTCACAAACCACATTGTGATGACATTTTATGGTGTCCTTTTTTTCCAGCCCACGTGACATTCCTTGACATGCAGTAGCAGTGAGCATGGATGGCCTCCTACTTAGATTGATTGCCTTATTCGGCTTCCTGAGCTTGGTATTGACATGAAAAAGTATGGCTAACAGGGGGTCATTTTGAGTCCCACTTGACTCGACTTTCATCCTGGCGGCAGGAAGAGCTCTGTGCCACTGCCATTTCACTTCTTTTATGTACGTTGGTAGTAAAGCTACTTGCGTAGTCGTAGCCTCTACGACTCCTTCAGAGGTAATTAGTCGGCTACCACATTGGTGGTAGTGGTTGTAAACCCACTCTAAAATTACTAAAAGTTTTCACTTTTCCCAGTTGGAGCGTACGTTCAAACGTCACAGAAGGGGGGCTGTTGGAACCGTGTCGACTTGTAGAACACCCCACTCAGCCTTGACCTCTGAGTCCTAATTACTACTGAATTGCGGTCCAATTTTAACCCATCGAAAAGAATTGTTCTCAATAATAAATTATAAAGTGCCATCATTTTTCTTCAGTTGGACACGATGGTTCGAAAAGATCATTTCCAAATGGTGACTTCAGCCCTGAGAACCGGTTGCGTACCACCTGAGAGCATTGAGATAAGACCAAGTCGAATGGCAGGAAACGGTAGTTTACTTCATTTCCAACCGCCTAGACATGAATTAGCGACAAGAAAACCTGTCTGACGTCTCCATTCTTTAACTTCATTCCAAGTAGAGAACTCAACTAGTTCAACAATGTAGTTGCCATTACCTGCCTCGTAAAAGTAAACCGTTTACACGGTAGAACAGGTATTTCAGTCGTAAACGACATTCATGTAAACCAGATAGAGTGGTGTTGATGTCACTGGTGCAATGAAAGTTGGAAGGACGTGAGAAAACGACTGCACCACGACGGCGTCACTGTCTCAGCGGCGCGCACTTCCGCCGCCTACTTTCCGCGACAAACAAGGGTATGATAGTGTCCTCTTCTCCTCCTTCTTCCTCCTCCACTCAGTGCTTCTCCCGTACGTGCCAGCTGTCAACGGCCCTAGCCATCATTGATAATCCCCCGTCCATTTTAATTTGACGTGTTAAAAAAAACTAGATTATCTCTTGAGAAATAGATGGAGTAGTGGCGAAAGTGAATTGTAGTGGTAGAAGTTTTAATACTTTAAGCTGTAGATGAGGCGTAGTTTTAAAGAATAAGCACATTCCACGAAAGATGTGACACTGGAGCTGTGGAGTTTACTTCGCCAAGTTCTGCTAATTTGTGTCCCCTCATTCCTAGTGCCTAGATGGCTCTGAGGTCAGTTTGGCTTAGATCCACTTCAGCCTCAAAAACATTGTGAACTGCTTCCACGCTAGACAGAATCAGTCAACTTACATCTCTGATACCATCGCCACAAGGGTGATTCTTCTTCCCTCCTCACCATTCATCCCGTAATTATCCATCCATCCACTCATCCACCCACCCTCCTGCCCTTTACTCTATTAGCAACCTCATCAGCAGTGGGTGAGACTCACAAGTAAGTGAAAGCTGCTCTTTCATCATACTGCAAGGTTGTTGCGTAAACGACGAAAGAGTCTTCGTTTTATTCCCACCTAATCAGTTATGGTTAGCCTCTTGACACCTACATGGCAGGCAGAGAAGCCAGGTCGCAGTAACCTTGAGGTGTGTGTGTGGGTGTGAGTTTATTGTTTTCCTTCTTCAAGTTCTCTCAGCTATGTGTGTGTAAGTGTGCTCTTTTTTTCCTTCAAAGTGACGCGAGTTGGATACCCTTGGTGTACTAAAACAGAGTCTTTCACCCCCTACCATCACCACATAGTTTCATTATTTTTATTGCAGCAAATGTCGCCAGGAGGAGAGGAACGGTGCATGTAGTGATTGGAACGGGGACCTAGGCGCGCGATCTTGAGCAGGTGAATGCGTTAATTTGTAGCTGTGTCTCCTGCACCTACTTCTGCAACGTTTCTAGTCTGGTGGAAAGAGAGTTTAGCTCTCTGGGGAAATTAGCGGCGCGAGGTGACAGTTGATGCGCCGTATGGCTCTCGTCCTGAGGTTGGAAATACATGCATTGAAGAGGAAGTTCTCCATTTCCATTGACCCAATCAGGACATACGTTGTTCTACTAGTTGACATGGCGTCCGGTCATCAAGCGCAACGACAGCTGGTAGTTGCCTCATTGGAGTTTCTTCGGTAAAGAAGCCTTGGCAATTTTGCCCTTCCACTGTACATACAAATGACAAACCTAGTTCCTTGTGGTCAAGAGTGACGTGAGACTTGAATTTTCTCTCCCACTTTACCACCAACCTACAAGTTCCCCCTTTGTCGGGACGTCACTCCGCAGGTAAGCCAAAAGCTACCGCTCTGTAATCCCTCTGTTCCAACGAGTTGGAGCATTCCCACACTACATCAAAGCTCGTCTACCGGCAAAGTAAAGTACATCTCCACAACAAATCGCCGTCTGTTGTGCCCTCTCCCTTTCCTGAAGTAAGATTTAAACGCATCCGTATGAGTTGTACTGGAGCTCGTCCTCTCTCTCTCTCGAACGACTTCGCCTTCATTTTGACCTGCATGGCTACACCCAGTGTCGGTAGAAGCTGCATCCCCACTAACAGCGGCTCGGATAGTATTCCGAGTGGCTGTGACAATCACCATCATCTGCGACAAGCAGTTCTCGTCTGCCTTATACCAAGATCTTGGATTTGGTAGTAGAACGACGACTGCTTACCACTCTGCCATCAACGGTCTCGTCAATCGCTTTCACCACCAAGTGGAAGCTTCTACAACGGCTAACCCGGGCGTGAGGTGGGCTGTCTTACTCGGAATTGGCTCCACGTTGCGGAAGGATATCGGCTATTCACCTTTGGAATTACTCTTTGCTACTATCCTCACCTTCCTGGTGTTCTTCTAACACCGATGAAGTTGACATTGCTTCCTTTTCACCTCCCTCCCCTCCACCTCTCCTCATTCTCCTAATCAACCCTCACAAATCCAGCCGAACCTTTTAAATTCGCAATCCGTATTTAATCCACGATGGCATAGCAATCAATGTTTATCAACTTCAATGCTACGAAGGCTACAGCCAGCGTCGACAGATTGAAAGTGGCTTACTTTGACAGTTCACTTCTGTACCTCGTGTCAGCGATCCACTTGGTGTTTCGCCTGCATTTACAACAGACTGCACCCCCGTCTGGTTCGCTCCTCGCTGCTACGCACATGTGTCGGACGGGCTATAAAACGTCCCGTGCGCTCCCCTGACTGCAGCCACCTTGCGTTTTTCACTGACAACACTCAAAAGGGGGGCGGGAGTGTCAGAGCGCTCATAAACTACCCATATTTAGTGCGCAGTTATCCTTTCCTGATTTTTCTGCTTTTTTTAATCAAGACACCGGTCCCCGACTCGGTACAAGAGCCTCCTCACCTGCTGACTACTACTTACCTCTCTGTTTGCTCCAGCCCTTCAGAGTGTCATCATTGTCAAATTGCGTACCCCCTGCCAACTCGATAGAACTAACGAAACACTACAGAATCGATCAATGCATCGATCATAGCATCTGAAGTCTTTCTTGAATTCGTAATAAGCCATGAGAGTGTGGCGAAAGAGTCATCATTTGCCCACAAAGGAGGTAGGAGGCCATAAGCGTACCCAATGGACTCTCCCACCCCTCCTCCTTCAGGGGAAGTACAGTCTGAGGGCCCCGCCTGATTAAACCTCAACGAAATACCAAATCACTGCGTAATATAATAATTCCCGTTTTTACACTTTTAAAACCACTCCTTTTTAATTTAAGCAATAATTTTGATCAATCCCTCACCAGGTCAATAGGTGATTCGTCAGCATGGCTGACCTTCAACTCGCAAGGTTATTGGTCATCTGGCAGCATTTTCATTGCCCTTCCACCTCGCTGTTTCCTATCCATCTTATCTGACGGAAAGGACGAGAAGAGTATTAACGACCAAGAGAGAGCCTATGTGTATGTGTGTGGCGAAGGAGAGATGTGTAGGTAGCAGGTTACAACCAGTTGTGTAGCCAGTCATTAATCTTCGTCCTTGCTTTTGAAGTTGCCGCCCCATCTTTTTTAGTACAAGCCCTTTTCGCACCTCCAGAACCTAGATTCTTGTTCTCCCCCTCTGTCAACATTTGGCTGTACAAAATGAAATAGGAACAGCATGCAGTCGAAAAATATACGTTGAAAATGTTTGCTATTAGGTGATACAAATTTAGCCTCTTTTTATTATTCTCCGGTCTTATTTTTCCTACTCTTTGCAATCTCACGGTCCAAAACTGCGGTCGCATAAAAGTGCAATTTTTTGTATTGTCTGCTAAAAGTGCAACAACATTATCTGTAAGGCTGGGGGTAGCAATTACCTGTCTCGTGTTTACTTGAAAAAAGTGCAAAACATCATGTGGAGATGGACATCACCCCAAAGGACGGAGAATTGTATCATCTAGTGGGTACCAGTTGTTATTACTCCCCTAAATGAAACGTCACCCTTCAAACGGCTCAGAACTTTGACGGCAAATCGACAAATTTTATTGGCGAACTGTGAGCATTTAGGCTTTCCTGGTCACTCGCTGTTTATTCGTTGAAATGAGCCGTGTAGACGATGCTTATTGGTCAAAATAAACCAACAAAATAGCCTCTTGTGGGGAATTCTGGTGGTTGATTAATCGCCTACTTATAAAATCGTCAAACTGGGTACTCATTTGGACCTTCCTGCTTGGGGCCGTGGTGTGGAACAGGCGGTGCCCTCAGTGAACTAAGGCGATAACAAGGTAGACGATGACAATAATGTACCCACGCAAGCACGAAGCCGCTCTCACACTCCCTCCACACTTGAGACTGCGTGTGACTCTAAATGGAAAACTTCAGTCTCACGATTTTCAGTGTCGCTGTAGCAGTGCAAAACTGACAGGTGAATGCTGAAAGATAACAACACTAGTTCTCCCCTCCCCCTAGCACGCTCAAATCAAGTTTCAGCGGGATTTCGCATCGGGTCCTTATTGAGGTAAAGGGGAAATTTGACCATCATAGCTTTCAAGCCTGAAAATTAACTTGAATCAGATGGATGGAAAAAAAAGAAGGCAGTCATGATGGAATTTTGGCAGGTTCCAAACTAGTGCCAAATTCATGCATAACCATTCTACCACGGTTATGCTATTTGAAGTGCTTCAACACGCTATAAGTAGGCAGCTGGATGGTTTTAGATGAGGAGAAGCCGTCCTCTCTTACGCGCTGGATGGAGGATGCAGTGCGTTAATTTTGAGAGTATGGAAATAGGAATACCCAACAGTCGCGATCACGTTTTACATCCCCTTTGAATTTTCTCCCATCTAATCCGCTTCTTTAAGGAATCACAACAATCGAAGTGCTAAGAGAGTGGCACCTTTGGTAGACCGGTTGCTGTAAAGTACTTTGTTGTGTGTAGCTCCTTACCTAAAAGTAGGTCTTGTGACCTCAAGTAGATTTCTTGATTTATTGTCACTTGTCGCAGTGAAATTTGTGGTTGTGTGTGTGTCTACATGTGTGTAGTACAGTCTGTCAGACAAGACACCTTACACTACTCCAGCTTGAGGAGACTTTCTTCATCACTGTTAAATCATTCATTTTTTTACAGCTTCTGCGCACTCAAAATGAATAACTGCCATGACTTTCCCTATACTTTTTGTTCAAACGTGAAAATCGGCTCTATCCTAAGGCATGCTTCCACAGCCCATATAAAAATTTTCTAATGATTTATTTACTTTATAAAATGTTACATGAGCACAATACCGCGCACCCATTAAAGTAGAAGTAGTTGTTTTCGCCCATTACAAGAGACTATTTTTAAGAGGAACTCTTCCCTCCAACTTCCTATCCATGTTCTTTGATATCATTAAGATTCTCCACCAGCGTCACACATATGTGACGTCCCAGCCTTTTTATATGACCTAAGGAGTTTCGATCACTCTGACTTCTGATGGATGACATTGACATTGGTTCAAGCAGATAATTCTCATCCAGATTTCTATCTTTATACTTCACCTAATATCTTTTTTGGAACAAAATAGTTTTAAGAGCCTCAAACTAGCCTTCGTTGTCCTTTGGATTTGGACAAAATGATTTTGTTACATTTCATCATGATTTCGGCTTCCTGGTTCGCAATTTTCGTTAAAGTGCTTAAACAGAAAAAAAAGAAGCCGTTCTGCACACGAATTTAGAATAAAAAGCTAAGAATTATGAGCCACCTTTTTGGATATATTTGCGGTTTACGCTAGCAATTCTAGGTGGCCTTTTAATCGAACCAGCAACTTCAAAGGGTAAGTTGAATGTTTTTTTACCCAAAAAAGTATGTATCTGCAAACTCTGGAATCTTATTACTTTGCAAATTATGCAACATCGCTGTGGTCGGTACTTTTTGAAAATAAAATTGTGTTGACAAACTTGACTGCCAGCAAAGGCTTAAACTGGCATTCCCGATACTTTTTGATCAAGTCGATACCTTTACGTACCACGTGTTTCTGACAACTTGCAGTCATTCAATATGACCTGGACACTCCCAATACCTTATGATTGGACCGTATTGTTCAAAAATGAAGGGAACTTTGTTGGAACAAAGTGGCTCAGCGGATTTGACACTATCCTGTAAGGTCTCATAGTTACGACCAGTTAGGCAATCATTAAACCCCTCGACGAGGAAGAAAAACATGGCCCTAAGTAGTAAAGCAACTCGATGAGGTAATCGGAATATAGTAGATGCGTAAGACTAGACTGAATACAAGCAGGCTGGTGGGCTGCCAATCTTACTTGGCGGTCACTCTCAATGACAGCAAAACGGGGTCGTAAGGCAATATAACCACCCAAAAATGCGCTTTAATTAGTGCAAGAAATTTACAGGCAATGGCAATGGATGGACAAACTGACAATACCACTAATGCGTGGACATCCAAAAGACAACCGATTTTCCAAACCCTCCAATTCTCCTCTAAGGCGTGCCAATGCCATCGTTTTTTTTCTTTGTTGTCTCAGTTGAATCTTAATTTGACCCTTTAAATACTTACGTATCCAAACAGAAGTAGGAGAAGGAATGGTAGACCATTGTCGCCGAAACCATCCAGAACTATCGAGTAGCTAAACGATCACCACCACGGTTTCACGAATCACACACCTGACTAAGCAGACTCAGTAACTAGGGTACTAGGAGGTGACATGGTGAAAGGGAGTTACTCGTTTACAAAAAATGATTAAAATTATGGATAAGTAGGCGCATATCTCAGTCCCTCCGGCGTGAACTCGCACAAGCTGGGCGCACGCAGGTATGCGTGGAAGGCGGCAATCGGAGGAGATGAAAGTGGTGGTGGTGGAGGAGGAGGAGGAGGGGGAGGAGGAGGAGGAGGAGGAGACGAGAGGAGGTAGGTGGAGAGGAGGGTGAAAAGGAGGAGGAAGAGCGATTTAAAAATCGATAGCCTGTTTGTCTGACGGCCGTTCCTGTCTAGTCCCTTGCCTTGCCTGTCTGCCTGCCTGCCTGCCGACGTCAAGGCGCTGCCCATCCCGACGCACAAACACACAATCACAGACACAGAAAGTGTGAAAGATAGATGAAGATAGACCAATCGATTTGTGTGTAGAAAGGATAGAGAGATGTTTTTCACGTGAATTTACTTTGTTTTTACTTGAAAAAAAAATTGCGACCTACCTAAGTCGTAGTGTTATCAGGTTGTCTGAGTTGTAGTGTGGAGACTCATGACTCACCGCGCCTTGTTTACGAAGGAATCGCGCAGCGTTGACAGGACTCATTTTATGTAGAGACGTTCACCCAAAACACAGGATGATGATAAACTCGCGTTAATTCGAAGAACGGTGTAAATAAGCATTACCATCCAGTTCTACAACGGCTGCACTAAAAGGTCATGGGGAAGCTCAGTAACGCCTTCACCATTGGCACTACAATTTGATCAAAGATAAGACGAATTGTATGAACAAAAATGTTGAATATTGGCATTGCATATAATAGATGCTACTTCCCGTAAAGGCTTGTCACGTGCATGCGTCAGGGTTAGCAGGACATAGACGAAATGCGCCAGCCCATGGCCATGGAACTCTTTTTCTCGCGCTCTAGATGCTTCGTTCGCTTCAAACTCTTCATGCTCTTCCAGATGGACGGCTTATTACTAAATTTCACACTTCTGCATCCACACACACACACATTCAAAGGAGATAAACAAGTGGGAATTTTAGGAGGAGAAC